TCCATAATCCCAAGGTTAAAATGTATCCCCTAGGGCTTCCCTGGTGGTGCAGTGGTTGAGAGTCCGCCTGCCGATGCAGGGGACACGGGGTCTCTAAAATGCTGGGTGATTTACTCTATGGTACTGGTGGGAGGCAGACCTCTCAAATAGGCTGGTTAATCATGTCAAATAAAAACCAAAAATGGTGTTTCTTGAAATATTAGACCTGAGGAACATTGATAAGATAGCTTATCAAGAGTTTTCAGGATGACTTATAAACGTGCACTTAGCCTCTCCCTCTCTCTCTCTCTCTATCCCCACAAGCAGTTTAGAATTTATTCTAAGAATCTAACTTTGTTGCGGGCCACATGGAAAGCAGCTTCAGTGATGAGTTTGTTGGAATTCTCCCCCAAATTTTCTATTTCCATCACTCATGCATAAATCCAAGAACCTCTCAGACTAGTTTATTGACACGGCCTTTCCTCAGTAAGTCAATCTTATCGAGGTCCATCCTGGACACTCTGTAGAATGGTAGATGCTCACAGATGCTTCTAAGACATCCTTTGCCTTCAAAGAATCCATATTACATGTCCTCGTGGAAACAAGATGAGTGTCTACATTTTCCAGAGTGGGAGCAAACATCCATATTAAGGATCTCAACCACTTCTCAGTGATACATGTGATGTCATAGCAAACATGACAACAACCATTCCTATTGATCCTACTGTGTACGATCAACAAACTGGTTTTTGACACAATGGTTCTTAAGATAGCCATCTTTTATCAGTAGCAAATTCTGCTTTATAATGCGCTTCACTTTCTGCTTGCATGCTTCACTATGTCTCCAATTTACTCACTTAAGAATATATATTTTCCAGCCACACCCACATCTCCTGCACAGAACCAGGAAAACCCCTACCTTTTTGTATTCTTAATCTAAAGATTATTTTAAAATATTTGAAAAACAAAGAAAACTTAAGAATATGTATATATTATTTAAAAATTATATTTATACATTGCACATAAATACTGAGAATTCTACTAGGCAATACCAGACTTTACTTTTTATCAAAATTGGTACAGGCTTAGTGTTTCTGAAAGCCACAAAATGAATGTATTCATATAATTTTTAAAAATCAAATAATCTGCAATATACAGGACAGTAGAAAATGTCACTACTCCCCTTTCTTCCACAACAACACACCTCTGTAATCGATTTCAGGAGATAACCACTGAGCACAGTTCATTGTTATTTCCTTCAGCAATTAGCCTGTATTCATATCCATACATATTCAGTTAAAATGGGATCACAATATCATACAATACATACCATTCAGCCTATATCTTTACAATCACCTTCCAAGTGACTGTACAGAAACATACTTCATCCTCTTATTGGCTGCTTTGTGCTCCACTGCAAAGCTCTATCATAATTAGTTTATGGTGAAGATGTCAGTTATTTTCTATTTTTTTACCTTTTAAACAACATTTCAACGAGCAGTCTTGTATATACCTTTGAGACTATTTTTCTACTCATTTCCAACCCGGGGACAATCTAAGGAGCTTCCTTTTTCTCCCCTCACCCCAGTGTTTTCTGCCAAGTGTATTGCTTCCACTGGGTGACTTCATTCCCAGGGTCTAATCTGCAGACTGGTGCAACTAAGTGCATGAGCTCTGAGTTGAAATCCCAGCTCTGCCACTCACTGCCATGAGCAAGTCACTTAATCTCTCTGCACTCAAGTTTCCTCATCTACAAAATAAGGGATAGAGTAGTTTCTAGTTCCTAAATTTGGAGGGATAATTAAATGTGGTGATCAATGTACAATGTCTGGCACTTCATAAATGCTCAATAAATTTCAACTGTTTTGATTGGTATTGCTTGCATCTCTGCAGAGAAATTCACTTTCTATCCTCTTTAACATCCATGTCGACTGTGTCCTCAGTCAACTGTTTTTTACACTTAATTTCCACTCTCCTGTCTATCTCCAATCTGCTTTCTCTCTTCGTCTTCTGGTGAGATCCACTGCTGATTCAGCTATTCAAGGTAACTAGCAAAGCTCTCAGTGACAAAATCAATGAAGGCTACCCTAATCTTCAGAATTAGTACTACAATTTCTTTTGTAAAACTTACTATTGCAGTGGTCTGTATTAGTCCTTGGTCCATTATAATTTATCAGCTCTGATCTATTATTGATTTTCAACTATTTGTGGTAGGGTTGTATTTTTGTTTTTTGGGTTGTTTTTTTTTTTCATTCATTCTGCAAATGTTTGTTGAGCATTTACCAAGTGAAGATGCTGGACTGGGCCTTCCAAATATAAGACAATGAAACATCAACCAGCTTACAATCCAGTAGGGTAGAAAGAATCTGACAGCAGGCAAGAGCAAGTAGGTGTTCTAGGCCCAGTGACCTGCCTCTGTACTCTACAAAGTTGAGTCACTTGCTAGGAGATAACCCAACAGAAGGTCTCTCTTGAGTTGAGTCTTGAAAGACAATTTGTTGTTCACAAGCTCATGGAGGTGAGCAAAAGTGTCTCCAAGAAGAGGGAGAGTTTTGTAAAAGCTGGAGGTCACAGAAGTACAGTAAGGACTTGAAGATGCTGGGAGCGATGTATGCTAAGGTGGGAATGGAAGGTTAAGAGGGAAACAGGACTGCAATAAGTAAAGCTGGACTCACAGCAAAATGAGGTCTTCAGGGCCCTTGATGTGGTTACTATGGAAACACCAAGGCAGGCCATGATTCCCTGGCAGCTCCAAAGACAGCATGCACCTGGTTCAGCTCATTGTGGTATGGTGGGTACCCCTCTAGCTCTACCTATCCTGTGACAACAGACAACCAATCAAGTAAAGTCTGCTTTTCTACTCTTTTGATCTTTGTTTTTGTTTCACAGGCCATCTATAGCTTCATTCCAAAATAGATTTCAAAATAAGACATGGGCCTTTGTTTGATATGTATTTAGCCTTTTTTGAAACAACATGGTGGCAAAGGAGAGGTTCAAATAGGAAAACATTCTTTATAAATATTATTAACGAAAGAAGCTAAAAAGTTTCATAATGGCATTGAATGAGGTTTATCATTTGCAAAAGCCCCCCACCCCACGAGAAGGTATAAAGAAGTGCATTTTTTTTTTTTTTTTTTTTTTTTGGCGGTACGCGGGCCTATCACTGCTGTGGCCTCTCCCACTGCAGAGCACAGGCTCCGGACGCGCAGGCTGAGCGGCCATGGCTCACAGGCCCAGCCGCTCCGCGGCATGTGGGATCTTCCCGGACCGGGGCACAAACCCGTGTCCCCTGCATCAGCAGGCGGACTCTCAACCACTGCGCCACCAGGGAAGCCCAAGAAGTGCACTTTTTAAAATGAGCTTATTTATAAAACAGAAATAGAGTCACAGATGTAGAAAACAAACTTACGGTTACCAAAGGGGAAAGGCAGGGGAGGGATAAGTTAGGAGTTTGGGATTAACAGATACACACTACTATATATAAACTAGATAAACAACAAGGTCCTACTGTATAGCCCAGGAATTATATTCAATATCTTGTAATAATGTATAAAGGAAAAGAATGTGAAAAGAATATATATATAAAAATATATGTATGTGTGTATATAGCTGAATCACTTTGCTATACACCTGAATCTAGCACAACATTGTAAATCAACTATATTTCAATTGCTTAAAAGTACAGGGTTTTTTCTTTTTAATGTGCTTATCTTTCTTTGTAATTTATATTCAACCTACTTTCCAAAAAATAAACAAATTAATATATAAATAAACAGCAGTCCAGATGTGGGAGACTGCTAAAATATGGGACCATCAGGCCATAGACATAAATAAATCATCTTCTAGGCTTTTAAAGCTCACCTAAGAATGACAAACATTCTCTGTCAGGGAAGCCCCAGGGCCTCCACTCCTGCTTGAGAAGGGAGTTAAGCTTCAGTAGCTGACCCAGGGTTCTGCTCCCCTTAGGTGAGAAGGGTTTTTGCACAGTAGACAATGGACAGCTATCACTGTGGTGGACGTTCAGTGGAGGAACCAAGCTGGAGATCAAACGTGAGTAAAATCTAAACTCTCCTTTCTCGGTTGTCTGTGTCTTATGGTCCCTGTTGTCTCTGAAGTGATCCGTATGCTGACTCTTTGAAACCAGACTCTGAGATCCTCCAGGGCAAAGCTACAGTCCGTAATCAAACTGGAGAATTGATTGCACATTTTCTATGAAGAACAAGAGTCAGGCATTGGGTGAGAATAACTTGTCTGAGTGATAGTTTCAGAAATTTACTGGGGAGCAAAGCATATGTTTTGAACAGAGCTTTGCTCAATGGTCAGGAAGGGACAGTTTTTGTACAGGAGCGAGGTTAAGAGGAAACTGTGTGCATACTTTCGGCTCAGGAACCAAAATTGAGATCAAACAGAAGTATTTTTTTCAACTGATTCTTTGCCGTTTCTGTCTAATTGGTTTGCTTTTTGTTCCTTTTTGCGTGTTTTCATTAATTAGGTGTCAGGGATAAAACAAATTTCATTCCCAGATTAGGTACAGAGGAGGGGAAATTGTTCTACAGGAGGCTAACTGATGACTAATTTTTAAGATTTCCAAACCAAAATAACTGAATTGGGGAAGGGGGCTTGCTGCCCTTTCAGGGTAGGGTTTTGTGCGAGTGGAAGTTAAGGGGAATCACCGTGGTTCACTTTCAGCCCAGGGACCACAGTGGAGATTAAATGTGAGTACATTTTTGCTCAGTTATTTGTGAGGTTTTTGTCCTGCTGTATCATTTGTGCAAATTTGTGACATTTTGGTTAAATGAGCCATTCCTGGTGACCCAAAAGTAAAAGGCAGAAAACCAGAAGACAGTCAATTTTTAAGCTGAACAAACAGAAAAGTTGATGAATTTGTAAGGAGAGTAGGGTTTGTGGAGAGAAAGGGGAAGAAAAATCTGGATTTTTCTGTGAATTAGCCTTTTTCCTGTGATTGGCTTCAGAGGGAGGTTTTTGATCAGGTGGGTGTGTTAGCTCACTCACTGTGGCTTATACGTTCGGCCAGGGGACCAAGGTGGAAATCAAACGTAAGTGCACTTTTCTACTCCTCTTTCTTATAGAGTCGTGAAATTTGGGGGTTTTCATGCTTGGGATGTGAGTTGAGGTCACTTTCGAAGAGAATGGGATTCTTCTGAAAATGAGATCAGAAAGGGACTGAAAATCAGGTTGTCTCAGAAGAGCAAAGAGCTAGTTAGTTGACGTGGCATCTAAATGGCCAGATTTTCTCTGTATCCGACAGTCAAATGACTTTAGCAGCAAAAACAGATTTTTGTTGAGGGGAAAGTAATTAAGTTAACGCTGAGGATCACCTTTGGCCAAGGGACACGTCTGGAGATTAAACGTAAGTAATTTTTCTCTACTACCTTCTGAAATGTATCTGGGTCTAAATGCCAGTGTTGACTTTTAGAGGCTTAAGTATGAGTTTTGTGGAGATGGGTAAATGAGAACATTTCAGATTTATTATCAGTTTCAAAAGTTAAACTCAGCTCCAAACCTGGGTTTGTAGACAAAAAGATTAATCTACACCGAATGACTCAAAGGGAAAAAAAAATTAGTGTCGATGAAAAAGGAATCCTTGCAGCTCTAAAAGAGCTAAAGCGAATTAATTTTCATTGAAATTTGCCAAATATTATATTGATTTTTGCTTGTATGTACAACACGGAAAAGTAGAGAAATGTATTTCTTAGTCTGTTTTCTCTCTTCTGTCCATTATTTTGTAAGAATAAAAATCAATAGGATGCACTACAAAATCAGTAATAAGTTAGAAAAGCATATTTATTTGTGTTAAAGTTGCCGCTTAATTGCGAATCAGCAGCACCGTCATTTTTAGAGGCTAAAATGAGTGCTAAACTGTCAATATTTAGAAATTCTATAGAGATTCTATACCTTAACAGATTACTCTTTTTTTAAAAACTACATTTCTATATTAGAGTAAACTGGAAATGATCTCTTAGCATAATGGAGGAAAGACAGTTGTCCCCAAAAGCTCTTTTGAAGTAATTTGTTTTAGTGAAGGAAAATAAAATAATTGCGTTTTTTAGATGCCCACGGACATGTAGAAAAATAGGAAATATTTTAATGAGTATGTTCTTTGTTATTACTTGCTAGTGTTTTTATACTGCAGAGGAGGCCGTGGCACAGCTAGGGTGGTCTGTAGACTTCTTGGCGGTCTCTTTTCGTGATTGAATGACGTTGGCGGCCGGGTCCCAGGGCTCTGGTGATGGCGCACCTGGCCGCTGAATGCCGCCAAAGGCCACGGCAACCCCGCGATCGCCCGTTCAGCTGTGCTGTGGCCCTCTTTCCTGACACAGTGATACAAATAATGTCGCTAACGGAAGAGAACAGAAATGTGATGGGCATGAGTTAACATGGGGAAAACAGGGAGAAACCTGATTTTTATTAGCGATTCCAGAAATGAAATTCACATTATTATATCCTCTTAATAAAAATTTCCAGTAGAAGACTATAAAGAACTTAAAGCTATTTTTTTGCAGTGATATGTAATTTCTTAAATATCTTCTCATCAAATGTATTTAAGTAATAAAAGCTCATCCAAATGAAATATATATACATACATATATATATATAGGTAGATATATGTATGTGTATATATATATATATATATATATATATGTATGTATATATATATAAATTCTTTCAGGGCAAAATAGACACCAGCGAAAATATAACTGAAGACCAGCCACAATCTGGCCGTTCAGGTTTTGATCAATTAATTTTTACTGAGTTCAAAATAAGTATCATTAAGATATATTTGCTGACAAAAAATCAGATAAATTTGTGACATGTTTTGAATTTTCAGAAATTTAATGGCTTCAGTAGGATTATATTTCAGGTGTACAAAATATCTAACCATATATAAATGCCATTGATAAAAACTTAATAGAATATATTTTCTAATCCCCTCATTCTGTGATTAGAACATTTTTAATCGGGCTATTTTAATTATATACCCTTTAACATAGTTTAGTTATTTGTTATTGTCATTGTTGTTTACTCCAGGTAATTTCAAAAGCAATACTTGAAAAAGATTATTCGTGGTTTGTGACAACCTGACAGGACTATTTTAGGGACATTTTAAAACTCTTTTCAAACTATTTAAACTATGTAAGTATTTTAAACTGTTCTAAAACTGTATTTAGGGCCTTTTAAACATCTTTTAATAAATTTTAAACTCCATTAGAAAGCTAGTAAGAGGTCTTACAAGAGTTTCCATATCAAATATACTAATTGTTTAATGCAACATAGAAGGTTTAAAGCTATCAAAAATTGACCCAAATAGGAGTCTCTTCATAGAATATTTCCTCTCCTGTTTTTCTAGAATTCATATTATTTTGCTACTAAGGCTATTTTATAAAATTCTCTGAAAAAAATAGTGATGATGGTTAAAAGAGAAGAAAGTATCAAAACATTAAAAATTCAGTATCTTATATTAAACTGCTTGGTTAACATGGAGGCTTATAGCTTTATAAAGGTTTATAGCTTTATAAAAATCTCTTCACTTATCTGTGACTTCTCACAGCAAAAGAAGATCCTTGGTTTGTTATTTAACTCATGCTCTCCCACCTGAGGGCTTGAAGGCCCACAAAGGGGATTTCCAGCAGGCCATCTGGTAGCTGTTCATGGTCAGAAGTGAAGCTAGCCAGTTCCTCCTGGGCAGGTGGCCAAAATTACAGTTGACCCTCCTGGTCTGGCTGAACTTTGCCCCATATGGTGACAGCCATCAGGCCAGGACCCAGGTCTCCCTTTGAGGCCTTGGCGAGGAGTGGGTAAGTCGCTGGCCTTATCACAGAGGGTGAAGGGGCCGATCCCCGAACCGACCCGGGCCCAGACTGAGTTTGGGGCTCACCCTGCATGGTGGGTCTGACCCCAACACGCCCAAAGGAAGCCCAGGAAGTGAAAGGCAGCCTGATATCACTGCACAGAACTAGGAGAGGCACAGGGGAAACGATGTGTGCAAGTCCTGTTCTCACTTCTAACCTCTGACGGGTCCAGTGAAGTGGCTTTGTTTCTTGGCCTGAAGCACTGGGTTCCCTGCAGGAGGCAGAGAACACAGATGAAGGACAGAAAGGTAAGGTCAGAAGGGCGGGCAAAGAGCTTCGAAAGGATGCAAAGAGTTCAAACAAAACAATTTATAACTTTCTTAAGGGGTAGGGGCTAGGGAAAATCTCCAAATCACGGCGATGAGAAATATGCTTCCTGGCTTCCCTAGTTGCTCCCTGGTTGCCAAAGAATAAGCATGCTGCTCTCTGCATGTCTGTCCCTTACAGTTCCAGGCTCACCCACAAGCAATGCACCCAAGTGGAGAACTTCCCTGTTACTTAAACACCACTCCCTGTGCTTCCTTCCTCAGGGTCTGATGCTCAGCCATCTGTCTTCCTCTTGCACCCATCTGAACAGCAGTTAGAGACCAGAACTGCCTCTGTCGTGTGCTTTGTGAATGGCTTTTACCCCAAAACTATCAAAGTCAGTTGGAAAGTGGATGGAGTTGTCCAAGACAGCAACATCCAGGAGAGTTTCACTGAGCAGGACAGCAAGGATAGCACATACAGCCTCAGCAGCACCCTGACGCTGTCCAGGTCTGAGTACCAAAGCCATAGTCTCTATACCTGCGAGGTCAGTCACCAGTCCCTGGCCTCCGCCCTGGTCAAGAGCTTCAATAAGAACGACTGTTAGGGCGAGAGGCCTGCAGGCTCGTCCATCACCTGTGCTGGGTCCCAGCCCACTTCCTCGCCTCTTCATTCAGGCCTCGGGCCCTTTTCCCTATTGGCAATCCTCCAGCCCATCTCCCCACCTCACCATCCTCCCCCTCTTTGGCTTTAATCATGTTAATGTTGGGGGGGAAAATGAATAAATAAAGTGAATCTTTGCACCTGTGATTTCTCTCTCCTTCCTGAGTTAAGCTTTTTAAACATTGTTTTTCTTTTCTTTTTTTAACATGTTTATTGGAGTATAATTGCTTTACAGTGCTGTGTTAGTTTCTGCTTTATAACAAAGTGAATCAGCTACACATATACATATGTTCCCATATCTCTTCCCTTTTGCGTCTCCCTCCCTCCCTCCCTCCCTATCCCACCCCTCTAGGTGGTCACAAACCACCGAGCTGATCTCCCTGTGCTATGAGGATGCTTCCCACTAGCTATTTATTTTACATTTGGTAGTGTATATATGTCCATGCCACTCTCTCACTTCGTCCCAGCTTACCCTTCCCCCTCCCCATATCCTCAAGTCCATTCTCTAGTAGGTCTGCATCTTTATTCCCG